ATATGGTGAAACCCCGTCTCTACTAAAAATGCAAAAATTAGCTGAGCATGATGGTGGGCATCTGTAATCCCAGCTACTTGGAAGGCTGAGGCGGGAGGATCGCTGGAACCTGGGAGGCCGGAGGTTGCAGTGAACCAAGATCGCACCATCGCACTCCAGCCTGGGTGACAGAGCGAGCCTCTCTCTCTAAATAATTAATAAATAAATAAATAAATAAATAGAGCATCAGTAGAGCAAAAAGAAAAGCAAGAAACAGTAAGTAAGTGTGGTAAGGAAGAGTATAATATGCAATAGCAGGTTTTGACACAGCCAAAATATCAATAATCTTGATGGTAGTGAATCGGGGCCCATTGAGATGGCTCACGCCTGTAATCCCAGCACTTTGGGAGGCTGAGGTGGGAGGATTGCTTGAGCTCAGGAGTTTGAGACCAGCCTGAGCAACGTGGCGAAACTCCATCTCTATAAAAAAAATAAAAAATGGGCCGGGTGCGGTGGCTCACGCCTTTAATCCCAGCACTTTGGGAGGCCGAGGCGGGCGGATAACAAGGTCAGGAGATTGAGACCATCCTGGCTAACACAGTGAAACCCCGTCTCTACTAAAAATACAAAAAAATTAGCTGGGCGTGGTGGTGGGCGCCTGTAGTCCCAGCTACTCAGGAGGCTGAGGCAGGAGAATGGTGTGAACCCAGGAGGTGGAGCTTGCAGTGAGCCAAGATCACACCACTGTACTCCAGCCAGGGCGACAGAGCGAGACTCTGTCTCAAAAAAAATAAATAAATAAAATAAAAATAGAAAAATAAAAAATGGGCTGGGCATGGTGGCTCACGCCTGTAATGCTAGCACTTTGGGACGCTGAGGTGGGCAGATCACCTGAGGTCAGGAGTTCGAGACCAGCCTGGCAAACATGGTAAAATCTCATCTCTACTAAAAATACAAAAATTAGCTGGGCATGGTGGCAGGTGCCTGTAATCCCAGCTACTTGGGAGTCTCAGGCAGGAGAATCGCTTGAACCTGGAAGGTGGAGGTTGCCGTGAGCCGAGATCTGGTCACTGCCCGCCAGCCTAGGCGACAGAGTGAGACTCTGTCTCAATCAATCAGTCAATATAAATAAATAAATAATTAGCCCGGTGTGGTAGCACATGCCTGTCCCAGTTACTTGGGAGGCTGAGGTGGGAGGATCTACTGAGCCTGAGAAGGCGAGGCTGCTGTGAGCCCTGATGGTGCCACTGCATTCCAGCCTGAGCAACAGAATGAGACAGGCCCTGTTTCAAAAAAAAAAAAAGAAAGAGTGAATAGGCTATGACCTTCCTGACCCCGAGCCCTGAGGCTGGACAGCACACACCAGACAACACCTGGCCAGATATGGTTCATACAAGTCAGCTACAAGGAAATAAACTGCCCCAAGAAGACCCTGGTTCTGGGTTGGTGGGCTCAGGTGGTAGCTTAGAGAGACAGTGGCAAACTGAGTCAAGTTACGCAATATTTTTCCGCCTGCGGCCAGAAGGACAGTCTCCCTTGATTGCCTGGGAAGGCAGTCAGGGCAAATCAGTATCCACGGGCCAAAGGGAGTACTTGGAGGCCAACTCTGAGTATTAAACGCTCCTGTGTTAACTCTCCTACAGGAAAACACCCTCTGCCACCTCTGTCTGTGCCTCTCACGTGGCTGCACCAGACCCCCAAGCATCACTCCGAACCAGACGTTCATTCTTCTCTGGGAATAAAGCACAGCTCAACCAGGCACGCACACGGCCACAGATAACCCAAAGGGGCTCGGCTTTGTTTTCTTTATCCAGAAGCTCTTCAAAATGCTACAAATGTTATTAGCTCGCTAAGCGGGATAGTCCACAGACGCTCTTCTATTTTTTTTTTGAGACGGAGTCTCGCTCTGTAGCCCAGGCTGGAGTGCAGTGGCGCGATCTCGGCTCACTGCAAGCTCCGCCTCCCCAGTTCAGGCCATTCTCCTGCCTCAGCCTCCTGAGTAGCTGGGACTACAGACGCCTGGAACAACGCCCGGCTAATTTTTTGTATTTTTAGTAGAGACGGGGTTTCACCGTGTTAGCCAGGACGATCTTGATCTCCTGACCTCGTGATCTGCCCGCCTCGGCCTCCCAAAGTGCTGGGATTACAGGCGTGGGCCACCGCACTCGGCCCACAGAAGCTCTTATAGTCTGTATAAGCTCTGCCTGCTCTACTGAGACTCTGTGGCCAAAGCCAGGACACATGGCCAGGGCAGGCACCTATGTGGCCCCTGACTCTCTCCAGTTCCTGACCCCCATGCACAGCTGCAGCAGGAGCTCATGGCTTCCTTTGCTGAAGTACTTGGTGCTTTCCCAGGCAGGACCCCACTAGCTTATAATTACAAACGATGTGCTGGGATCGGTTCTGCCACACGCAGGTAACACTTCTTTAGTCCAGGGCCTCCTGCAGGAGAAGGCCAGGCTATCAGCTCTTGTGGACTTAATGATACAAAGACCTTACGAGACAAGGGGACCACCACGCGGAGGCTGGTCCGGTGGCGTGCAGGAGGCAGGTTTCTAGAATGGGGGCAGGAGTGCGAATGCCAGAACAGAATGGAAGACCGGAGTTCAGAGAAGGACAAAGGAATGAAAACTGGATTCATTCATTTGTCCATCTAGTGCCAAACGTGGGACGCGGTGCTGAGACGCCGGCTGTCTCACAGTCAAGCTGGACACGGGGCGAGCAAAGGGACAACTCTACTTCCCAAGGTGTCAGGGAGGAGAGAAAGTCGGGCCCTGGACACCAACAGCAGCTCTCCCAGCCTCTTCCCAGAGGGAAAGGCTGGGCCAAGGCCTGAGGCAGCGAGAGGAGGTGGGGAAGAAACCGGGCAGGAGTGTTTATTTGCAGGGCTGGAGGAAGGCTGTGACCCAGCCGCACAGGGCAGGAAATCTCCCAGACAGGAGTGGGAGGGCCTGGGGGATGGGTGGGCATCAAAAGGCAGAGGCTCAGTTCAGCTGCCCGAAGACTGGGAACGCAGGCACTTCCTCCAGGCTGGGCCGCCTCAGGTCAACCTTACTCTGGCCTCAGTTTCCCCATTGCACTGAAGGGAAATGAAAAGGCAAAGACTTTGAGCTGTGGGCATGAAAGGCTCAGCCATGGCTCAGACCACCACTCCTTATAAAACAGGGTGGATGCCGCCGCTGCTGTTTTTGGCTGCTGAGTGGCCCATCTCACCTCTTTGAAGATGAAACATGCTGAGGCCTAATGAGGAGTCAGTCGGTCGGGGTGGGCGTGGAGCCCAGTCACCTGCCCCACCTGGCCCCTCCCAGTCAGAACAGCGCCCAGCCCAGGGGACAGAACCCAGCCCAGGGGCCTGTTTCACACTTCTGTGCCCGCGCATCCTCCTCTGCCCGGGGCTCCCTCACTCAGAGGCAGAGGTGTAGGGGAGCGCAGCAGAGGTGGTCTGAGGTGGTCTCGGGCTGCAGTGAAGGCCTTCTGAGAGCTGCCTGGGCCTCGCCTGCCCCTCCACTGCCCTGGACCGGTGCACACCACCCTTCCGGGCTCTGCGAGCTGCACAGGGCCTCCCTGTTTTCAGGTCAAACACGTCATTTCCAGTATGGAGGCCGACCAGGGGGAGGCTTTCAAACCTGCTTTAGGTGTGTGAGAATTGTCCTTTAAAGAAAAGGCATCCCCAGCCTGCTCGCTGTCCTTCGTCCCCAGCTGTCGAAAGGACGTCTTCTGCCGCCTACATAGCCTCTGAACCACAGCGAGTCAGGCAGGAACCACACCTCTGCTAGGTGAGGCCCAGGACTGGCCCCCAAGGTGCCTGCAGGCCACACTCTCCACTTAGCCAGACCAGACGTGACCCTCCTTCCTCTCTCGCGCCACTCGCCTTCTTGTTCCTTGTCCCCTGCCCAGGCCTCCTTGATTTCTATTCACACAGACCACCCCAGGGCTGACCCCCACCTCCTTCTAGAGGCCCCATAACCAGCCCATAACCAGCTCGTTTCTGGGGAAATACTTGGCACAAGAGAAGGGGCATGCAGACAGCTCACGCTCTCGTGGGAGGCAGCAGCCTCATAAATGCACTAATACTAGACACAACCGAAAGACAACTTTCCCCACATGTTTCAGAAGAGGAGCGTGCACCTGGGGATAAGCGTATCTCTTTAATGGTTCATTTGTGTTCATTAAGTAATTAATCCATTTATCTGATTTGCAGAGTGATGCCCAAAGGTTGGACTTTTGTATCAACATCCAGCCTCCAAGTGCGTTTCTGGAATTACCACCTTCCCCAATTATGACGATCCCTGTCTCCATTCTTCATCCCCGAGTCCCCAGGGGCAGGAGAATGCACCGAGGTTTAAGCCCTGTTCCCCCGGAAGCTGGGCCTGGGACGCCCACTCTGAAGCCCTCACACCCACCACCATCCCTGCGCTGACATTCACTCAGGGACTCATAGGCCTCACTGTTCCAAACTCCACAACCTGCAGGCCCTGGGGCACCTCGTTGCTCCTGACTCCCATCAGAGCTTGGCTTTCAGGAAAGCCGGGCAATGTCTGGAAAGTCAATTAGGAAAAACTGGCGACAGGCCAAGGACTCAGCCTCAGTGATACCCATAGTGAAAATGCATAGGGAGGCTGGGCCCAACTCTGCCTGCAGAAGGGATGCCCTGCACGTCTAGACAACCTGCGCTTATCCTGAGGTGCTCCCATCCCCTCGCTGGCATCCGGCTCCTGCATCCTCCCTAAACTGTGCTGTAAGGCTAACTGACAACCCCAGATCAACAGAAGGCACACCAGCAGGGACAGGCGGACATTCGGCCCCTGTGCCCGCACACAGGGCGTCCCCCGCCTGTAGCACCGGTAACTAATTACAGGTGAGACGCTGAGCACCTCCGCTCAACACAGGGAGGCCGCCTGTTGGTCTGCCCTGGCATGGCCCTGGGGTTCTGGAAGGACCCGCAGGCCACGCAATGTGCACAGCCCTGCCTTTCCCTGTTACCTGTGGCGGAGGCAGGCGGGTGCTGGGTGCTCACTCACCTTGTGGTCCAGCTCGGCACTAGCCTTTGGCTGTTGCTCCTGGGAGGGTGGCAAGGGCACAGAGCCCAGGTACTGCCTGAGAGATGATGGCCTCATGAGGCCCAGGAGCCGGCTGAGCGAGGACAGCTGGGGAGGAGAAAGGAGGTTGTCACTCACAGAGGGCGGTGGCCGAGCCGAGAGCTCGGGGTACTCCCAGGACTTGGCCTGGACACCTCAGCTGATGGCAGTGGGTTAGAGCACTGGCTTCTGAGACCCAGACCCACCTCTCACTTATGAACGGTGGTCTCCCAGATTCTGAGTGTTCTCATCTGTAAAATGGATCACACATACTTCCCAGGAGACGAGAGGCACCCACACATACCCAGCTCCCCCATCCCCACCCACACATACCCAGCTCCCCCACCC